TCCCTCTCTCTCTCTCTCTCTCTCTCTCTCTCTCTCTCTCTCTCTCTCTCTCTCTCTCTCTCTCTCTCTCCAGGTTTCTATACATCTTGATTCGTGCAATCAAAGATTCCTCGCTATTTCCAATTTCGGTTATATTCCTAGTTTCTCTCAATTAATTGTTTATACCTAATATTCTTCTAAACAATTTTTCCATTCTATCGAATCGTTCTTGGCGTTCGTGATGCATCTCTCATAATTATGGCTGTTATAAAGATCTGTACGAGTTATTAAAGCAGTGCACCTCCATCGATTTCCGTGTAATCGGCTTACGTGGAAGCGAATTGACGTCAATACTTGCGGAAAAACGAAATCGATATCGACCCGTTAAGAGAGCAAAACGTTGTCTGGACGGGGAAACTTTCGGCTCTATCGATGCACGCGCTGAGAACGTTCGTTGGCAGCGTGCTATCAACCCAACGTTTTCCGATTGCCGGCCGGAAAAGCCATAGATCCATCCGCAGAAAGGGTTATCCTTCATTGCCACGAGCAGACTCTCGACTGCATCAACCGACCTACGTGGTTATACAGGGCGGCCCGTTATTGATTGTACCAGAGGCCGAAGAACATGATTCTTCGCGAAAAAGGAAAACGAAATTGCTAGAGGATCTAAAACAAAATTCTTTTTCCACGTAGTCTCCGCTCTTCTGCTTCATCTGTCAAATGCATGGACGTTTGTTTCGGAATTAACGTGGTATCTGATCCGCTTACGTTCGAAAGGACATCGAAAATCTAAAATGAAATTCGAAGACGTAAAACACCTTCTCCGACAGATCTTTGACTATTTTTTTCTAATTTTATCGAATATATCGGTGTTCTTTTATTTTTTCTTTTTTAACTCTAATCGAAGCGAAGAAAACGACAGGCATATCAACATCATCGAGATCTATCTATCGTAAAGGTGATTTAAACGGCCACTATGACTGATAGAAATATAATAATTCGAGCGTTCGATTTTCACGATCGAACGATTGATCGGAAAGCGTCGCAGTTCGTTTCCTAGCGTACGAAAAACACGAAACCCAACGTTGTAACGATGCTCGTTCTCTTCCGAAATGACGTGCATCGGTGGAATTTTCTCCGGGCGGTTTTGTGTTACGGATCAGAATAAACGAGTTCAATTTATTATCATCTCGGCAGAGAAACGAGGCACAGTTCGGTCGGATTAATTTATTAGCGGGCAATGTGCAGTTTGAATATTCACGAGTAGCAGGACGAAAAACTCTGGAGCCTTGTGGCTCGAGATAACCCGATATCTCGACCCGGTGCAATCGGTCGCCCGCAGGGCAATTCAAATTAAATCGTAACAGTCGTGCTGCTGGAAAGCCGACAAGGAAACCTTCGTTAACGCGAGCAAACGACGATTACAAGTGTTTGACGATTTATTAATAGACGAGTGGCAGCTGGATAGCTAGAGCTTTGTGACGAAAGTAGCATTTTCTGTGATACGCTGCTATAACGCAAGGAGGGAGAGGAGAAAGAGAGGCGTAGACAAATTTCTGAAGGGAAGGTACGAAAGATAACGAGAGATTTCTCATGGTTGGATTGAACATTAAGAACAAAATCGTTGAAGTGGTCACCGCTTCTAAGAAAACTCTACATCTGGTCTTTTTAGTTTTCTCGAGCACCGAAGCCATCGACAGCGTATAGACGAAAGACTGCGACGAAGGCGGACCATAAATGGTAGACAGGCGACGTTGACTTCGGGGTTTTCAGTTACTGGGTAACACAGCTAGCGTGCGAATCTGGACCAGCTCAAATTGTATTCTTACTTATAATTACACTTCTATTTAAATATATTTTCTACCTTACAATTTATCCACGAGTTTCTCTGTTTAAACGTCAAATAACAAAAATCAATATTTTATTGACAGTAAAATTGAACACACGTTCGTGGTATGGCCGTATGTTTAAGGAGCGAAAGACGATCTTCTATAATAGGAAACTAAATTTTACTTTGATAGAACGATTCTTTCATTTCCAAGAGATTCGTCCAAGCTGTATTTGCGTAATATTTTCCAGGATACTTAATACGCGTATCCGTAAATTGAAACGAATGTATTTCACCATTTGGATATTTTAACGCATGCTTTAGAAAATTATTTGCACAGATATAGAACGCGGAGATATTCGATATTCTATGAAAGAATACAAATTTCTCGAGTAGAATTTTCTTCAGTGAGAAAGAAAAAATTGTATAATTATATCTCGAAACGTTATATTTCACTGAACAATGAAACTTTTTTCAAAGAAAAGTTCTCGCGTTACCAATCAAGCGATTAATAATCGAATCTTATCTGGAGTAGCGCGCGAAAGAGTAGATCTTTCTTATCAAGAAGGGTGGAACCTTGGCCTCTCCCGCTAGGGGATGCTGCCAACCCTTTCCTCTGCTCTTCTTCGTTCCTTTCCTAAATCAATTATCTAATTATTCTCCAAATAAAAAGCCCAATGGAACCTGCAATTCTCCAACGTTCCAACCTTAAATTCCCCAAAAGAACTAAATTTTCATTACAAACTTCTACCTCCGTAGAAACTCGCACACTCTCTGTCTCTCTCGTTACTCTAAAAACCAGCCTAAGTTTAATTTGCGATCAACTTCGATTCGCCTTGTTCGATCTGCAACCAATTAACAGGATCCTTCGACACGCAAAAACGTGCAAATTTCCTTACCCCCTGCAAAAACCGCCCCAAATTTAATTCACGATCAACGATTTCGACTCAACTTCTTCTATCTCCTATCAATTACCAGGCAACCCCTAACGTAATATAACGAAAACGTTCGTATACCGCGTCGACATCGACGTACAAAAATCTGCAAACTCTCTCTCCTTCCTCCGACAACCATCTTAAATGTAATTTACGACCAACAATTTCGATTCACCTTCTTCGATCTGCGATCGATTAACAGGCAGCCATTAACGATAGCCACCGAAGCAATTTTTCTTCGATTTCACAGCACCGCGCACAAACACACGAACACACACACACACACACGCGCGCGCGCGACTATTTCTTCGTAACTTGGCAAATTTCAGTTTCCGAATTTCAGTTAAACACTTTCACGGCGCAATCGAGAACGTAACGCACAGACAGACAAACAGACAGACAGATAGATAGACAGACACACGTGCACACAACACGCGAATTTCAACAGGAATCTGAACGAATCACAGAAGAAACTTCGAACGACCACTCACTCGCCACAATTCCATCGAACGATCCTCGGCTTCGCGACGTGCCGCGCGCCAAACACGTGTCTCGCGAT